TTTGGTTACCACCTCTGCATAGTTTCCTAAGTATTTATACAAAACTTTATACAAAAGTTACAAGTGAAGTAGTAGGTCCAAGACTGCTCAGTTAGGTAGTAGAACAGAAATGACAGAAAGGCAGGTCTTTTGGCCACAAGTACAAGTGCGAAAGAGCAGGAACTTTATCGCCCAGGCTGTCCCTGAGCAGCCCTTGAACAGCTGATGGTCCTCACAAAAGGCCACTCAAGAGAAGGACACTGAGTTATAAACTGGAAAATTAACAGTATTTTGGTGTCCTATCTTAAATCATGTCCTAACCTACAAATGAAATAATCCTGTACTGTTTCTATTAGCTGAAAGTTGGTACATTTATAGTATGAAATCCCAAAGTAGTGACAATCAATTTTAGGGCATTCTATCCCATGTAGCTACATTTTTTGATGAACTGGGGCCCTCCACACTCAGTAAAGTGAATTTAAATTGCTAGAACAGCCAGAGACATTGAGAGATTTAGAATAAATAAGGATAACTGCATTTCTAGCAAGTTTAAATGCATTATGTAGACTTAGGCTGAGAAAACTTAGAGCAAAATAGGAAATGTGTTGAAAATGATTCTCCATGTTCTCTCTCTCAAATTTCTGTTACCCAATCAGAAAGTACAGTATTCTGGAAAGTCAGTGAAGGAAGCAAAACCATAAGCACTTTTCTAGTAGAGACAACAATCAATAGTTAATCCTGATTTTTCGCCAGTCATTGTTGCACACCTCTGTAACCCCAGCACTCTGGGAAGCCAAGGCAGGAGGATCACAAGTTAAGAGTCCCACCTGACCAACTTAGTGAGACCCTGTCTGGGCAGAGGGTGCACTGGGGATATAGTTTAGTGCAAAGTCTGTTGGTTCAATCCCAGTACAGTAACAGCAGCAATAACAACAACAAAAAAATCCTGAATTTTAAAATTATGTCCTAATTTTCTACCACTAATAAAAAAGTACAGATGCTCTTCAATTTTCATGGGGTTACATCCCTATAAACCCACATAAATTGAAAAATATCATAAATCCACATTTAATACATATAATCTACCAAACATAACAGTACAGCATAGCCTACCATAAATGTGCTCAAAACACTTAATTTGGTTTACAGTTGCACAAAGCTTGCAGTTAAATGCAAAGCTTGTTCATAACAAAGTGTTAAATATCTCATGTAGTTTATTGAATGCTGTATTGAAAAATGAAAAACAGGGTCTGGGGATTTAGCTCAGTGGTTCCGCCACCTGCCTTGCAAGCACAAGGACCCAAGTTCAATCCCCAGTCCCTAAAAAAGAAAAAGAAAAATGAAAAACAATAGCTGTGCACATATGCTTTTGCATCACTGTAAAGTTAAAACTTTTTGAACTGAGTCATCATAAGTCAGGAACTCTCTGTATTCAGTTATGATTGCTGGGAAGAAATGTGGACCCATGCATTATGTTAACCCGTGTCAAGAGATGTTCTAAACTTTCCAGAAGATAAGTGAGTTTTGAAAGTTGCTTTCTCTCTCTAAGACAATTTTAGAATCACTTTTATCTGTGGGGTGAAAGGTTAATGTGACTTTATTTTATTATGATTTGTTTTATCTTGAGGGAAATATTTAATTCATTAATAAAAAATATTTGCTGTGGTTGTCTTTATCTTATGATCTACATCATCTTACATCAGGCTTTGTGTCAAGAAGGTTTAAGCCTCCTACCCTCTTGGGAGAGCCCTGTGGCTCAGTCTGGAGTCTGTTTCACTCATTATTAATATAAACAGTTGACACCTGTCACTGAAGCAAAAACATATTTGAAAAGGAAGGAAGACTAAGCAGATATATGCTTGCCTGTATTGGTAAAATATATAACATATAACATACACCTCTGTAGTATACATCTACTAAATAATTGTATTAAGACAGAACAGTCTCTCTCTGTCTCTCTCCCATCTTCATCAACACTGATTCCTTTTCAAAAAAATTTTTTTTTCTCAGCATAAGAAGGTAAGTGTAAGGCAACTCTGCATTTCAGTACCATGCAAAGAGAACATGTACAAACCATGGTATAATGTGTCTTCTGATTTGCATTTTAAATCCAGCATTAATTCTGTGACAGACTGCAAGTATTTGAGTAGAAGGGCAGGAAATAATGAAGGTCTAAGTTTGTGCTTCATTTTGTCATAAGGAAATAAGTGGTTTCATAAAATAGTCACCATTTAAACTACCACAATTTAGTGTCTTCAGACAGTATTGCTTCAGCTACTGGATCAGGGCATGAAAATTTTATGCCAAACTCCACAAAAACAGCTGTTTTGTTTTGCTCAGATTTACATGTTGTTCTTTTTACAGATCAGCTGGGCAGGCTACCTTATTAGAATGCCTACAAGTGTGCAGGGAAATGTAAAATGGCTGTATCACTAATCAGGAGGAGATACAGTTAAAAGTCTGCTGTAGATGTAAGGATATGACATATTCAAGCTCATTATATTGTATTAACAAGAAGTATTTGTGAGATATAAACTGTGTTTGCTTGTTGTTTTTCATATAAAAGAAGAATAATGTTTGGACAAGAATTTTTATTCCCTGATAAAGGTAAAGATGCCTATAGTTTGTGAGACTCAGTGTGCAATTCTCCTAGGAATACATTCTAGAATAACTCTTACACTTGAGTACTCAGAGGAACGAACAAGAATATCCCTGGCAGTTACGTACATAACAGTAAAAAACTGAATCCAAATCTGAATCAGCAGCCTCGTGGATAAACAAACTGAAACTTACTCATACAATGGAATACCTAACAATGAAAACGAATGGATTACAAGTTTATACAACTCAGCCGCATGATATTGAGTGGAAAACAGTAAGCCACAGAAAAAGGCACACAATATTATTCATTTTATGTAAAGTTTACAGATATGCAAAGTTAACAATGTTGGGATAAATTCAGACATGTGCAATGAAACTGTCTAGAAAATCAAAGAAATGATAAATTCAAATTCAGTATATTGGTTGCCTCTGTGAGACAAAGAAAGATGAGATTAAGAATATAATACAAAGATCAAAAGTAATGATCTCTTTTTTTCTTAAACTGAGTCGTGGGTGCACTGGTATATACTGCATCATGTTCTGTTAAATCTTCATATATATTTTATAAACCAAGAAAAAGAGAAATAGTGTAACTGAACTTTTTTTTTTCCCTAGAATTGGATTCTCTTTATAGTCCAAAGATAAATGCAAAATAATACCGATTCATGCCAAATTTAATACTGTGATTAGGGAAGGAAAATTACTATTGTTTGCTGACATCTAAACAAATACATTGACTTTATAACAATGAATTTGCAGTTACTAGTTTTTTGAACAGCAAGTCTTTTTGGTTTGTTCAATTATTACTGGTGTTAGTAATAGAATAACTGAGACTATTTTTGATAAAATTGTATTATAGAAATATTTTCTTTAATATTCCAAGATCAAAGTAGAAACATAGCAAAGGCAAAAAAAAAATCATAAAATCAGACTTAACCCAAGCCCAATGTTAAGGACACAAACACTGACATCTGTAAATCACTTTCACTATTCCAGTCATAGGACCCAGATCATGTTTTTTTTCCCTTACTAGAAGAGAATCAGACACTTAGGACAATGAATTTTCCAAGAAGGTAATTCCATGTTCAGACTCACTACCTTAGAACTGAAAAGAGGTAGAGGGTGATCAGTATTAAGACAGCTAATAGGCCACCCTGGAAATACACCCAGCCCATGAATTCATGAAAGGAGTTCCAAAGTGGGAGCATCTATGCCTATTGCCCCAAAAGGAATAGAAAATGTATGGAAAATGTATCCAGGGGAAGAGAGGCATCAGGCAGTGCAGAGACATTGTCATTTTTGGGAATTTAACACTTCCCTGTACAGATCTGCAGCAATAACCTGACTGATGTTATAAATTAGACCCAGAACTCAGCCTCCCTGATCTCATCATATTATTTCAATGGACAAAAGAAGCAATGGACAAGGAAGCTGTCAATTTCTGTGAAATGGAGGTGATGACTCCTACCTTTTGGTGTTTTAGAGATTACACGTTCCATTGTTGTTATCATTAATCTGTATGATCATTCTAAAATATAGCTGCCTCTTCCTCAGTTTAGAACTCAATCATTGGTTCTTATAGTTCATGATAAACCCTCAAATCTCTTAACACAATTTTGAAAAGCTTTTGGCGATTGGGATCCCTGCTTCCTCTTCAGCCTCATCTCTTATGACCCTTCGATCACACTAAACTACCCCATTCTCCTACTGCCATGCCCCTCAGCTTTTCCTGAAACACACGTCCCCTCACTGTTTTTCATCAAAAATTCCTGCTACTCTTCAGAGGCAGGCATGGCAACTTAGAATGGGAAATTTTTTATTATATGTATTTTATATACACACATATTTCATAAGATCTATGTATCTAGATATATACTCAATGTATGTACGAGTATTTAATGTATATGTAGATATATGTGTGTATCTATATATTTATTTGTGTCTATATATAGAAGCATTTCACTGGCTCATGTGAATTCACTGTATACTTAATACTACCTTGGAATATCAATTTAAAAACTGTTTTTAATATATTCTACATATCAGCACAATGTACATATATAATTAACAATAAACAATAACATTAACCAATTTATGTTCCATGTTTTGAAAAATATGGCACTTATTATAACATCTGTTGGGAAATACTATGTTACATATTTTTTATAATATTTTATGGTTTAATATAAAGTATACCCCATCATAAATGCCAGGCTAAGGATAATTTTGCCACAAATCAGGGTAGAGACAGGAAGTTTTCTAATTGTCATTCGATAGTAGGCAATGCTAAAATCCAGATCACAGAGGAAGGATGATAAAGAACTGCTGAGTCTTCATGATGTCCCTATTTTGCTTCAACCAGCAAACCATCAACATTTTGAAAACCAAATCTATGACTGAAACCAGAGGATACCTCTTACCTCAGCATCAAACCTTGGGTCCTGGTAGGCATCACTGATATTCACAGGAAGACCCGTTGAAGCAACCAGCTCAGCAATGCTGTTATTTATTAGCCAGTCAGAATACGACGATTTCTCCATGCTTTCTTTGAAACTGTCAGAACACAAAGCAGGCAGAAAGAAAACAGAAATGTAAGTTTGTTTGAAATCAAATGCTATACAAGTACACTATAGCAGGATTATCTGGCCTCGTTAAGACAGATATTAGTCCCAGAACAATAGTGAGGTAATTATCAGTAGCTATTTCAAAATGACTTACCATTTTTGTAATGTAAAATACTCAAATCCATGAAGAGAAATAATAGACTATGGCCCAGAGAGTAACCCTAGGTTGTATATAGGTGCCAAAGCAGGCAAATATATAGAAGATAATCAGATAGTGACCAACAATGATGTAAGGACATCAACAGGGTGATTAATAATATTCCACTGAATTCCCCAGTCCCTTTAACTAAACAGACTAGATGTTTTGATATCAAGGAAAATGAAACCCAAGAATGGAAGATGTCAGGACATGGATTGAGAACTTACAAAATTTTAAATGTAGAAAAAGAGCACATTTAGACTATAACCAGTAATTATTTCAGTAACTGTTTTAGTATCTGAGTGTTTTTATAGTCTGAGTAATAAAAGTACATTTTCTTATAAAGTCTCACTTAAAAGTCTGTTTTAATGTTACTGTCCACTAATATTAATAATGTAAACTCTACCCATATTTAATTTTTAACAAGAAATTTTATGCCAAATGGTTTTTGTGAACTTTCCCTTGTATCACCTTGCATGGCAGAAATTAAATTTATATAAATGCTATAAGAATTAGTCATACTGAGCCAGATAAGGAGATAGCTATGGTGATTGCCTCTGATTTGGTGCTGAAGAAAACAGTTACCACGAGGCAGAGGTGAAAGATAAAGTCTCATATGGGAGGAAAAATGAAAAGATAATCCAGCTGGACTAAAATCTAGTGTGTAGGGTGCGGGATGGGGGAAACAGATCTACATTTGAGTCATGGCACTCCACCTCCAACCTCTCACCACATAGACACTATCCTGGGGAAAGATCAATCAGAAGGAAGAAGCAAGTTGGCCCTTCAGTGACAGTCTGGAGGATCGAATAAAAGTCACAGTCATGCTGTTCTCCCCAACACTCATGATGAAGTTAGACAATTCCAACCAAGGGACTCAAAGAAGCTGAAAACAAAATGGGATAAAATTTAATTTCCATGCACCAATGCACCCACCTCCAGGGCTGGCAGGAAGAGAACCAGGCACCAGGAACAGAAAGTTGCCTTAACTTGGACATTAATAAAAATAAAAATGATAAGCTCACTATTTCTTCCAAATATAGATTAAAAAAAGGCTTACAGAACACCAATTAACTCCAATAAAAAAAGTTCCTCAGGACATTTCACAATCAAAGTACCAAATGTCCACCAAAAAGACAGAATCTTTAAATCTGACCAAGGAAAGCAAAAAATCACATATAAAGGTAAATCCATCAAGATTTCAGTTGACTTCTCAATACAAACTTTAAAGGCCAGAAGAACTTGGAGTAAAGGGTTCCAAGCCCTAAGAAATAAACAATTTCCAACCTGGACCAACATATCCTGCAAAACTATCTTTCAAAATTGTTGGAGAGATACGGACATTCCATGACAAAGAACACCTTCAGAAATACATTTTACTAAGTTAGCTCTCTTAAAAAATACACAAGAATATCCTACACAGAAACAATGAAGCCATCAAAGCAAACAAAAAAAAAAATCAGAGTGAATAATCAAGCAAGTCAAGTAGTTAAAAAGGAAAAGTAAAGGAATTCACAACAGATAAAGAACACAATGGGGCCGGGGATTTAGCTCAGTGGTTCCACCACCTGCCTTGCAAGCACAAGGACCCAAATTTGATCCCTGGTTAAAAAAAAAAAAACAAAAAACACAATGATAGGAAAAATGGAATACTCTTCAGTAATAATTCTCAATGTAAATGGCCTCAACTCCTCAATTAAAAGACTGAGATAGACAAACAAACAAACAAACACAGAATCCAACAGTCTGCTGCATTCAAGAAACTTATCTATTCCAAAAATAAATTCATAACTAAAAATCAAAGGATGGAAAAAAAACATTTCATGAAGCAAGGCCCCACAAGCAATCAGGGGTAGCAACTTTACTCTCAAAATAAACTTCAAGCTACAATTGATCAGAAGTGGCAAAGAAGGTCACTACATATTAGTTAAGGGATTGGCTCAGCAAGAAGAGCTAACAATTGTAAATACTTATGTAGAATATTGGGGCACCTAACTTCATAAAACAAACATTGATAGATATAAAAAATCAAATGAACTGCAACACAATCATAATGGGTAACCTCAATATTACATTTCCACAAAGAGATAAATTGACTAAACAAAAAATCAACAAAGATATATCAGAGCTCAACCACACCTTCAGACAAATGGCCTTAATAGTTATCTTCAAAGTATTCTACCCTACCACAACACAATATACATTTTTCTTAGCAGCACATGGAATTATCTTACAAACAGACCACATACTCATCCACAAAGTCTGTTTAAATAAATACAAAAGAATTGAACTCATTCCATGCATACTATCAGATCATTGTGTACTAAAACTAGAAATCAACCACAAAAGAAACCACAGAAAATGTGTAAGTACCTGGATACTAAATAACACTCTCTTGAATGCACCATGGGTCACAGAAGAAATTAAACAATTTCTAGAGCCAATCAACAATGGCAGTAAAACACAACAGAGCCTCTGGGATACAAGGAAAGCAGTCTAAGAGGGAAGTTTATTGCAATCATTGCTCATATTAGAAAAAGAGCAAGCTCAAATGACCTAATAAAGAGCCTAAAGATATTTGAAAAATACAGTCAAGGCACAAACCTAGTTTAAGGAGGGAACTCATATAGATCAGATTAGAAATTAAAGAAATTGAGACAAAAAATAATACAAAGAATCGATAAATTGAAGAGTTAGTTCTTTGAAAGAATAAACAGAACAGATAAACCCTTACCCATACTTATCAAAAGGAGAGAAAAGATTCATATTAATGCAATTAGAAATTAAAAAGGCAAAATCATAACAAAACACTACCAAATCCAGAAGATCTTTAGTAGCTACTGTGAAATATTATACTTCAACAAATTGGAGAATATTGAAGAAATGGATAGCTTCCTAGGCACATATGAATTACCAAAACTAAATCAAGAATGCATAAAAATTGTGAATAAACCAATAACAAACAATGAAATTTAAGCAGTAATACCAACTAAGAAAAGTCCAGAGTCTGATGGACCCACCACTGAATTCAATAAGAACTTCAAGGAAGTCATAATAGTAATACTACTCAAACTCTTTAATGAAACAAGGAGGGACTGATACTTCCACCTTCTTTCCGGAAGCCAACCTCACTCTGATTCCAAAACCAGACAAGAACCACACTATGAAAGAAAACCACAGGCCAATCCCTTTAATAAACATAGATGCAAAAATCTTCAAAAAGATACTGGCAAATAGAATTCAATCAACCATCTAAAGGATCATACAACATGACCTAGTAGGTTTCATCCCAGGGATGTAAGACTAATTTAACATACACAATTCAATAAATGTGATATAACATATAACAAAAGAAAGCACAAAAATCACACAATCGTACCAATAGATGCAGAAAAAGCTTTTGACAAAATCCAACAATATTTATGAAAAAAATCCTGAAGAAAATAGTTACAGAAGAATATTATCTCAATCTGACAAAAGGCATTCATGACATACCAATAGCTAACATCATAATAAATGGGGAGACAATGAAAGCTTTCCCTTTAAACTCAGGGACAAGACAAGGGTATTCACCGTCATCACTCATGTTCAGTACTTGAAACATTAGCCAGAACAATGAGGCAAGAAAAAGAAATAAAAAGGATATGCACAGGAAATGAAGAAATCGTATTATCATTATTTGCAGGTAACATAGTGCTCCTTTATATAGCCCAAAGACTTCTAAAACTAATAACCAGCAAGGTAGCAGGATACAAAATCAATACACAAAGATTAATAGCATTCTTGTACACCAGTAATAAGCTTCTGAGAAAGAAATTAGAAAAATAATACCATTTTCAATACCATCAAGAAAAATTAAACACTGTGTTTAGGAATTAATCTAGCCAAGGAAGTGAAAGACTTCTCTAATGAAAAATAGAGAACTCAGAAAAAACAGAGTGAAGAGAGCATCAGAAAATGGAAAGTTTTTCCCTGTTCTTGGAAATCCTTAACCAATATTGTCAAAATGATCATAGTTCCAAAACTGATATACAGATTTAATGCAATCCCAATAAAAATACCAATGACATTCCTCAAAGAACTAGAAAAAACAATCCTAAAATTCATATGAGATAAGAAGATACCCAGAATAGCAACAGCAATCCTGGGTAACAAGAGCACAGCGGGAGGCATCACAACCACAGATTTGAAGTTATATCACAAAGCTACTGTGATAAAAACAGAATGGTACTGCCACAAAAACAGATATGTGGATCAGTGGAACAGAACGGAGGATGTGGAAGCAACCCCAGGCACATTCACTCATCTGATTTTTGACAAAGGGACCAAAAAAATATGCTGGGGGAAAGATAGCCTTTTTAGCAAATGGCGCTAGGAAAACTATCTGTCCACATGGAGAAGAATAAATCCATACCTGTGCTGCTCACCATGTTTTAAACTAAAATAAAAATGAATCAAATATCTAAATATTAAAACAGAAATACTTTACCTGTTTGGAGATACAGTAGGTAGAACTCTTGAAATCACAGGTGTAGGTAAGGACATTCTGAACAGAATTCCAATTGCATAAAAAATGTTAAGAGTCAACAAATGGAATTATATCAAACTGAAAGGCTTCTACACAGCAAAGAAAACAACCAACAGAATAAAGAGACAACCTACTGAATAGGAAAAAAAATCTTTTGCCAGTTACATCTCCTACAGAGAACTATCATCTAGAATATAGACAGAACTCAAAAATATTAGGCCCTCCAAAAACAAAAAACCCAATCAAAATACAAACAACTGAA